AGTTTTTCACTCTGCACTCTGAAATCTTGCAAGTAAACACGAAAAGTAGACAATCGATCACTACGAGAGATCAACTCACTTACCATGCACTATGCGAGTACCATCTCATTCACACAAGAAGACGCCAATAAGATCTTCTTCCCTAGCTCCAACATGGACAACCTAGCTCCACACTCTACTGGTTAACTTAAAATCTAACTCCAGAGACTCAGAGAAAAATAAACTTGATTGTTCTTGCATGGCACTACTCTTAGTGAGTATTGGCGCAACAAGCGCATTACAAGAGGACTGAGAATACAGAAAGAGCCTACAATAGGGAAAAACAACAAAAATGTTCTTTAGATGTAATGCTACTAATCGTTGAACATGTGTCGAAGGAAGTAAAATAAGTTGAAGTTAAGATCAGTGAACATGAGGTTATAATGAAGGAGATTCTAGGCCCAGACTTCACAGCCATAGACGACTCAATCAACCAGTCCATTGGGAAATACAGAGACTTCCTACAAGCAACAAAGATCAGGAAATATCAGCGAGACACAGAGGACTACCAGCTCAACCAGGTCTACGCATGGGAAGGCCCAAGGACGTGAGCACCGAGAGGCCGATGTACGGACGACCACTGACCGGGGGACGGAGATACGCAGCAGCTGGGGGACACGGAAACGCAGACACGGAGGCATGTAGCAGCAGCATAAAAAAAGGGAGGGGGGGGTCAATGCAATTAGTCCGGGTAGCCATTTGATTCGCTGTTCAGCAGTATTATGGCTTGAGGGTAGAAGCCTTTTGGACCTAGACTTGGCGCTCCGGTACTGCTTGCCATGTGGTAGCAGAGAGAACAGTCTATGACTAGGGAGGCTGGAGTCTTTGGCAATTATTAGGGCCTTCCTCTGACACCGCCTGGTATAAAGGTCCTGGATGGCAGGAAGCTTGGCCCAGTGATGCACTGGGCCGTACGCATTACCCTCTGTAGCGCCTTGCTGTCGGAGGCCGAGCAGTTGCCATACCAGGCGGTGATGCAACCAGTCAGGATGCTCTCGATGGTGCAGTTGTATAACTTTTTGAGGATCTGATGACCCATGCCAAATCTTTTCTCCGCTACAGCCACGTCGATGAGAATGGGGGAGTGCTCGGCCCTCCTTTTCCTGTAGTCCACGATCATCTCCTTTGTCTTGATCACGTTGAGGGAGAGGTTGTTGTCCTGGCACCACACTTCCAGGTCTCTGACCTCCTCCCTATAGGCTGTCTCATCGTTGTCGGTGATCAGGCCTACCACCGTTGTGTCGTCGGCAAACTTAATGATGGTGTTGGAGTCGTGCTTGGCCACGCAGCTAAAGGAAATACATATTTATATGTCCGTATTTACATATTTACATATTTTGTATTCTGTTATAAAAAGGCATGTTCCCCCTTCAAATTCCAATCTTGTTTCATTCAAGCGCTCCATGGCACTCCAGGAAATAGTTGGGACACACTTTTCTCTTTTTTAGCCTGGTGGGCGTGGGTTTTAGCCCGGTGGGCGTGGGTTTTAAATGCAAGGACTGTGCGATGCGTGTCCACTTTCAGAACCCACTGAGAACCCAACGCCTGGGACCTCATTCATAAATTAAGCTATGGTGGGTTTATACTTTATAGTTTACAATTGAACTTACGATAGCTAGCTACCAAGTGGCTGGACCAGTTTTCCCAAAAGTGAACGACGTGTCAATGTTTGCTTCCTAGCAAACCAACAACGTCAATGCCGCTATCAAGCAAACCTGACTCATCACATACGCTGCTGCTACTGTTTATTATCTGTCACTTATTCCTAATTATATGTACATATCTACTTCAATTACCTCGTACCCATGCACATCGATTCGGTACTGGTACCCTGTGTATATAGCCAAGTTATAGTTACTCATTGTGTATTTATTATTGCTTTTATTTTTACGTGTTTTACTTTTTCTATTATTTTCTCTCTGCATTGTTGGGAAGGGCCCGTAAGTAAGCATTTCACTGCTAGTCTACACCTGTTGTTTGATTTGATTTGATCTAATAAGTTTACCTGAATGAAATATATGAAACTAGATGTCTAGATTTAATCTAATTTCACTGCGATTGGATAGTCAACATTCAATAATACCTGTATACTGTCAATCACTGAGATTCATTATTTGCGTTGGCGTTGCTGGCTTCATTAAAAACTGTTAATCTGATGGATTTTGGATGTCCTTGGTCTTATTTATTTTATTTGAGGGCTTATACATGAAGCCAACTTTACCATATTATCCTGAAGCAATACTTACACAACCAGTCTCATTACTTTATGTGAATGGTACTGTATTTCTTAACTTTAAACAATGCACATGTTGAATAAAAAATCATTTGTTTAGATTCATTTGATTCTGTGGCTGCATGAAATAGCAAACAATTCTGATATTATGTGACAAGATGCAGGCCTGTTGTAACGCTCAAGTCAGATCAGATTCTCATGTATCAGATCTTGGGATCGTGTTCACCATCCCGCTACCCCGCCAACATGTAGAAGGCAGACAGTACAGGTGCATCAAAGCTGGGACCAAGAGACTGTTAAACAGCTTCTATCTCCAGGCCATCAGACTACTAAACAGTGATCACTAGACGGCCCCCACCCAGTATTCTGCCCTGAACCTTAGACAATGCCCTATGTACATATTCATTGAACACTGGTCACTTTAATAATGTTTACCTACAGTTTTACCCAATTGATATGTATATACTGTATTTTAGCAACTCAATATTATTTGGGGCGGCAGGTAGCTTAGTGGTTAAGAGCGTTGTGCCAGTAACCGAAAGGTCGCTGGTTCTAATCCCCGAGCCGACTAGGTGAAAAATCTGTCGATGTGCCCTTGAGCAAGGCACTTAACCCTAATTGCTCCTGTAAGTCGCTCTGGATAAGAGCGTCTGCTAAATGACTAAAATGTAAATGTAAATATTAGGAAGGTGTTCCTAATGTTTGGTATACTCAGTGTATATACAGTATATGATACTGGTCATACTGAACCAAAGTATAAAAGCAGCATGTAAAGTGTTGATCACATGTTTCTTGAGCTGAAATAAAAGATCCCAGAAATGTTCCATACGCACAAAAAGCTTATTTCTCTCAAATGTTGTTCTCAAATTTGTTTACATCCCTGTTAGTGAGCATTTCTCCTTTGCCAAGATAATCCATCCACCTGACAGGTGTGGCATATCAAGAAGCTGATTAAACAGCAAGATCATTATGGAATTTTTTTTAGATCTTTTATTTCAGCTCATGAAACATGGGACCATGTCACAAGTGTGGAGAGGAGTAGGCAGTCGCAGGTTTAGAACTAATGCATTTATTAAAGCACCGTAGCTTAAAGCGGGACGAAACCCAGAGTGCAAAATATAAAGTAGTCAGGAAATAGTAGGAGAGATTCCTCTCAGGAAAAGATCAACATATACAATGACCGACAAAGACAACTGACAGAGGGAGTATATATACAGTGATAGAGTGGGGCTTGGAACCAGGTGTGTGTAATGATGACGAGACAAGTCCGGGATTGATGAGTGAAGGGCGTTTGCCAGCAACCGGTTCGGCAGCAGCTAAAAGGCCGGCGACGCCAAACCCCTGAGCTGGACAGGAGGGGGAGCCACAGCGAAGGCTGTTGTGACAGACCAACACTTTACATGTTGCGTTTATATTTTTGTTCAGTGTAATTATGACTAAAAACACAATATATAATGTATACCATATGTTTTTGGGTACTGTCTATCCAGATGTGATGTATGTCAAGTAACTATATTCTTGCTATGTAACTACTGTGAAGTGTGTATAATGTACATACAAGTATATTTTTGTCCTCCGAAGATTGGGGTGGTGGATGGGCCAATAAAAGATAAATAAAAAAGAAACACACAGCAATATTTACAAACACCAAAGGATTAAAAACAATAAGGGGAAAAAAGAAGAAGAAAAACCTCCATTCTGAATTAAGGCAAATCTAACGTTAGTCGTTTAATATTTTCAGCCCGGCCAAGAGAGGAAAAACACTGGCTCATGTTGTTGTGAGTGATGTTTTCCTCCATCTTAAAGGTCCAATGCAGCTGTTTTGATTTGAATATACAATTATTTCCCACATGCGATGGTAGGTTTACTTTAGCTGGTCTATTGATAATATCTAAACGGCGCTCTGCCATAGCTACACATAGTCGGCTGGCGTAAGGTTCTGCTGTTTTGGGGGATTGGTATAGCTTGCCGCGCTCACTGCCTGTAGGCTATTTTATATTGATGCTTTGCTTGGTCAGTGAGCTACCCTGAAGGAGCAGAGCCTATATCGCCAAGACTTGCATTATTCATTGCTTAATAAATGGGTAAACATATTTCTACGTGGCGTTTTCTTGCTGAACTTATTTCATCTGTAGCCTAATAAACGGCATGGTTTCCCGAGTCGTAGTGGAAGGACCACACACCATGCCATCGCGACTCCAAGTTTACTTCAATATGATAGTTGTTATATCAATATTTGGCATAAAGGCGTTTCCACCGCCATTTCTCGCATATACATTTTACCGACACAAAAAGATCCCACCATGTCGAATGAAAACATGATCTGTCGGTATTTATAAAATTGTACCAAAACGTACTGTTTCCATCACAGCTGTCATAAAAAAAAATTTATACGGTAATGCTTCTGGAGCTCACTGTATGTATGAAAATACCCTCAAATAAAAGGTGACATTCTGTGCTGTCGCCTCAAATAAAACATTTGATCTCAAATCCAAAATGCTGGAGTACAGAGCCAAATTAAACATTTTACCTTCGCTGTCCAAATAAATAAGTAGGGGAGTATATGTGCCAGAAGCCATGGCAACATCTTATATCACAGTGCCTGGCCAAAAATAGAAGGTATGGAATAGTATGTACCACTACAAAACATTCTGTTGTATTCCTTCAGTCTATAAAAGCTAAACCCAGTTGCCCCCCACACACTGAGTTACAACCTTTTCCATTGCAGCCAGCTGGGTTCTGTAAGGGGGCAGTGCACGGAGATATTGGCCAGCCAGACGTGGATGTGTCTTGTGAAATATTCCACCCAAAGGTATTGTCAATACGCCTACCATATTGTGACATAAATGTGACAGAGTACCAGGTATAGGTACAAGAGCTGTAAACAACAGCAGACAACTCAATAAGACAAGAACCAAATGGTGTCCAAGCCTAGATTGCAATACATCTTAGTTCAATTTGAGTTTGACTTGACCCACAAATCCTATATTATATGTTCCTATGTGCTTTTGTATGCTTTCTACAATTCCCCCTGATGGGAGTAATGTTGTTTTGTGTTTCACCAAGTTTCATTGTACTGTGTTGTATTGTTTTATTGTGTTGTATTGTATTTTACCTTCTTCTCTAGGGCATTGATGTTGTCTAGGACATGCCCCCCCTCGACCCATAAAGAGCCCTGAAGTCCACATCTCTGTTCCAGAAGTTCCCATCATCATCATCCCCTACTGCCCCACAGCACCCCTCCTGTTCTGGAGGAAACCCAACCACAACCGTTTGACCCCAGTGTCCTGGTCGACCCTATCCCCACCCAACCCCATCTCCGTTACATTTTCATCCTCCAGCATGTCTCAGGAGACTCCAGTCTTTAAAGTCTCTCCAGACTCTCCAGGAGTTCCAGACTCGTCCTCAGAGGAGCTTGGCGACGCTGTAGCTCGGCCGCCCATCAACTTCCTCAGTGGCCACATGGGTGGAATGTTATTAATATTTTTCATAATTAATGAACATATACAGTGGGGAGAACAAGTATTTGATACACTGCTGATTTTGCAGGTTTTCATACTTACAAAGCATGTAGAGGTCTGTCATTTTTATCATAGGTACACTTCAACTGTGAGAGAAGGAATCTAAAACAACAATCCAGAAAATCACATTGTATGATTTTAAAGTAATTAATTTGCATTTTATTGCATGACATAAGTATTTGATCACCTACCAACCAGTAAGAATTCCGGCTCTCACAGACCTGTTAGTTTTTCTTTAAGAAGCCCTCCTGTTCTCCACTCATTAACTGTATTAGCTGCACCTGTTTGAACTCGTTACCTGTATAAAAGACACCTGTCCACACACTCAATCAAACAGACTCCAACCTCTCCACAATGGCCAAGACCAGAGAGCTGTGTAAGGACATCAGGGATAAAATTATAGACCTGCACAAGGCTGGGATGAGCTACAGGACAATAGGCAAGCAGCTTGGTGAGAAGGCAACAACTGTTGGCGCAATTATTAGAAAATGGAAGTTTAAGATGACGGTCAATCACCCTTGGTCTGGGGTCCATGCAAGATCTCACCTCGTGGGGCATGAATGATCATGAGGAAGGTGAGGGATCAGCCCAGAACTACACGGCAGGACCTGGTCAATGACCTGAAGAGAGCTGGGACCACAGTCTCAAAGAAAACCATTAGTAACACACTACGCCATCATGGATTAAAACCTGCAGCGCACGCAAGGTCCCCCTGCTCAAGCCAGCACATGTCCAGGCCCGTCTGAAGTTTGCCATTGACCATCTGGATGATCCAGAGGAGGAATGGGAGAAGGTCATGTGGTCTGATGAGACAAAAATAGAGCTTTTTGGTCTAAACTCCACTCGCCGTGTTTGGAGGAAGAAGAAGGATGAGTACAACCCCAAGAACACCATCACAACCGTGAAGCATGGAGGTGGAAACATCATTCTTTGGGGATGCTTTTCTGCAAAGGGGACAGGACGACTGCACCGTATTGAGGGGAGGATGGATGGGGCCGTGTATCACGAGATCTTGGCCAACAACCTCCTTCCCTCAGTAAGAGCATTGAAGATGGGTCGTGGCTGGGTCTTCCAGCATGACAACGACCCGAAACACACAGCCAGGGCAACTAAGGAGTGGCTCCGTAAGAAGCATCTCAAGGTCCTGGAGTGGCCTAGCCAGTCTCCAGACCTGAACCCAATAGAAAATCATTGGAGGGAGCTGAAAGTCCGTATTGCCCAGCGACAGCCCCGAAACCTGAAGGATCTGGAGAAGGTCTGTATGGAGGAGTGGGCCAAAATCCCTGCTGCAGTGTGTGCAAACCTGGTCAAGACCTACAGGAAACATATGATCTCTGTAATTGCAAACAAAGATTTCTGTACCAAATATTAAGTTCTGCTTTTCTGATGTATCAAATACTTATGTCATGCAATAAAATGCAAATTAATTACTTAAAAATCATACAATGTGATCCGTCTCTCACAGTTGAAGTGTACCTATGATAAAAATTACAGACCTCTACATGCTTTGTAAGTAGGAAAACCTGCAAAATCGGCAGTGTATCAAATACTTGTTCTCCCCACTGTATGCACGCACCACTTTTCTGTTATTTATTTGTTCGAATATTTTTAAACAGACTATTTTGTGAATGTTCATTACATGAAATCCAAATAAAAATAAATTTAAATTACAGGTTGTAATGCAACAAAATAGGAAAATCGCCAAGAGGGATGAATACTTTTGCAAGGCACTGTACCTTCCCACAACATTCTGGTAATGGTGCAGGATAGTTGCTTGTCTTTGGAACATTCTCAGCACATTAAGGAACTTGCCAAAAAAACGTTATTCTCTTGGTATGTTATTACTTTAACAGAAAGTTTCCTAAAAGTTAAACATTGTTACATTTCATTTCAATTTTGGTAATGTTCTAGGAACGTTCTCCAACTGGTTTTAAATTGGGAATGCTCTCAAATAGTTCATAGAACATTAAGAAACAACATTCTTCTGTGAGAATTACAGTACTTCAGCATAACGGTTCCTACAGGTTTCCTCATGGTTCTATTTAAAGTCCTGTTCTCAAACTGTTCCGAGAACGTTAAGAAAACTTTAGTAACATTCAGAAAACAGTCTCAGAATGGTCTTTAAAAATATATACAGTGCCTTCAGATAGTATTCACAACCTTTGACTTTTCCACATTTAGTATTTTCCACATTTGTTACATTTGTTATTGATGAAATGTGGATGTTTTGGTCACTGGCCTACACAATACCCCCATAATGTCAAAGTGGAATTATGTTTTTCAATTATTTTACAAATGTATTAAAAATGAAAAGCTGAAATGTTTTGAGTCAATAAGTATTCCACCTCTCTGTTATGCCTAAATAAGTTGAGGAGTAAAAAATGTGCTTAACAAATCTCATAATAAGTTGCATGGATTCACTCTGTGTGCAATAATAGTGTTAAACATGAATGACTACCTCATCTTTGTACCCCACACATACAATTATCTGTAAGGTCCCTCAGTCAACCAGTGAATTTCAACCACAGATTCAACCACAAAGACCAGGGAGGTTTTCCAAGGCCTCGCAAAGAAGGGCACCTATTGGTAGATGGGTAAAAAAAAAAAAGTTGACATTGAATATCCCTTTGAGCATGGTGAAGTTATGAATTACACTTTTAATGGTGTATCAATACTCCCAGTCACTACAAAGATACAGGCGTCCTTCCTAATTCAGTTGCCGGAAAGGAAGGAAACCGTTCAGGGATTTCACCATGAGGCCAATGGTGACTTTAAAACAGTTACAGAGTTTAATGGCTGTGATAGGAGAAAACTGATGATGGATCAACAACATTGTAGTTACTCCACAATACTAACCTAATTGACCGAGGGAAAAGAAGGAAGCCTGTACAGAATATAACTATTCCAAAGCATGCATCATTTTTGCAACAAGGCACTAAAGTAATACTGCAAAAAATTTGGCAAGCAATTAACTTTTTGTCCTGAATACAAACTGTTATGTTTGGGGACAATAAAATACAATACATTACTGAGTTCCACTCTCCATATTTTCAAGCATAGTGGTGGCTGCATCATGTTATGGGGTATGCTTGTAATCGTTAAGGATTAGGGAGTTTTTCAGGATAGAAAATAAACGGAATGGAGCTAAGCACAGGCAAAACCTGGTTCAGTCTGCTTTCCACCAGACACTGGGAGATGAAATAACCTTTCAGCAGGACAATAACCTAAAACACAAGGCCACATCTACACTGGAGTTGCTTGCCAAGAAGACAGTGAATGTTCCTGAGTTGCCGAGATACAGTTTTGACTAAAATCTACTTGAAAATCTATGGCAATTCCTGAAAATGGTTGTCTAGCAATGATCAACAACCAATTTGACAGAGCTTTAAGAATTTTGAAAAGATTAATGGCCAAATGCTGCACAATCCAGGTGTGGAAAGCTCTTCAAGACTTACCCAGAAAGACTCACAGCTCTAATCGCTGCCAAAGATGCTTCTACAAAGTCATGACTCAGGGCAAAGATTTCACTTTGTCATTAGGGGGTACTATTGTGTGTAGATGGGTGAGAAACAAATCTATTTAATCCATTTTGAATTCAGGCTGTAACACAACAAAATGTGGAATAAGTCAAGGGGTATGAATACTTTCTGAAGGCACTGTAGGATAGTACTGCTTTTATTGCCTAGAATAAGGCAAAACATTACCAAGGCTACAGTATCTAGAATTGGGTTGGGGTGGTGCAAGCGAGTGCAGGTTGATTATTATTTTAAAAAATGGTATGACCTCAAATCAAATCAAATCAAATTTTATTTGCCACATGCGCCGAATACAACAGGTGTAGACATTACCGTGAAATGCTTACTTACAGCCCTTAACCAACAATGCATTTATTTTTTAATAAAAAAGTAAAATAAAACAACAACAACAAAAAAAGTGTTGAGAAAAAAAGAGCAGAAGTAAAATAAAATAACAGTAGGGAGGCTATATACAGGGAGGTACCGGTGCAGAGTATCAAGATACACATTTCTCACAATGCTGGGAAAACGCTGCATCAGCTACTGCATGTGTATCTCTATAGACGCTATACTATAGTCCAATTGTCTTCACCATGGCACCACAGATACTAGGAGGATTGGAGATTAGAGACAGATCTAGAGTCATCACCACAACACCTACCCTGATTACATCACAGCTGTGTAGATGTACACAAAAGGAGAGACGTCTGTGTGTGAGAGCAGACGATGGTGAACGGTAAACAACACACTCAATAGCATCATTGTTGGAGACATAAAGGCCCATTCAGGGTTTGAGAGAGTGTTGTTGAGGTGAGTTTGAGTGGTTTTGTAAGAGGGAAAGAATGGGAGTGATGAAGAGAGTATATATGATGGATGTGCCCAATGCCAATCCACTTCACAAACCTTTGCTATGGATGGGATGCAACCTTGTTATTCAGAAAACTTTGATGGAACTGCACAGAGCAGAGCAATTATAGTATACAAACCACTAACCTTGGGTGTCCTTGGCCACTAGGCCTTTTCTGCATTTAACTGCCAGTATACTCAAGCGAAATCACTGCATGGCATTGTTTGGCAATACAATGACATGTTCACTATTTAAACAAAAAAAGACTGGCACCCAGACTACATGTTTTCACCTTCATTACTTGCAACCACATTTTTACATTTTACATTCCATGCTGGAAAACAAACAAGTACAGTACCTGATAAGCAATGTACACAAACAGTTACAGCACATCCTGTGATCCTGATCCATACAATACTTGATTTATTGGTCCATTTGCATGGATATTCTTTATTTTTTGCTATCACTGTAACCAACCTGCAACACACACATCACAGGCTGGGGTAGCACAGGGACTGCTGCCAATCAGCACCCCTGGAGCACTTATGGGTAAAGTTCCTTTGCTTGCGGTCATAACATAAGTATCCCTGCAATTTTTCTCTCAGGCAGCTCAGGGATTCAAACCAGCAACCCTGTGGTTACCTCTCTAACCTCGAAGATACCGCCACCCCCATTGAGTGAGGGCAAATATTTTTCTCTATTTCCACAGGGCCCATTGAATCACTATCACCACAGAGACCCCCCTCACTCAATGTTTAAATGTCCAAAATGTCACTTGTCAACAGCAGATAAAGCTTTATTTAGATGTCCTCTGGGGGAAGAGGGGAAAGTTCACTAGCTGCCTCCCAGGAGGGGCCTTTGACTACCTCTCTTCCTACCCCTCTGTCTGCATACAGTACGCCCCCAGCCCAGGGCTCTTTAGCCTTCTTTCTTTATTAGCATTAGTGACCAGGCTAACACAGGGTTCTGTGTACAGTAAGGATGTGGGTCTGTGTGTGGCTGGTGGCCCTGTTTGTGAGTGTGTGTGTTGGCAGAGGGGCAGCCCCTAGCCGGATGCCCTTGTGGTGGGGTGCCAGGGCCCGGAGCTCCTGAGGGTGGCAGACAAAGGACCAGAGCAATGCTGACCTCACTGAAGGATTCATCCTCAGTCTCAACAGAGTCTATGTCGTCAGCCAGCAGACAGGGGTGAGGCTAATCAACTACTGTACATCTCTTCCTGTTTTAAGGTTGCAGTTTTTTTCTAGTTATTTGGGTTCTTCGCTCTCATGCATGCTTCAGTGTTGCTTGCCTCGAAGTGCGCATAGAAGTAATTTAGCTCGTCTGGTAGGCTCGTGTCACTGGGCAGCTCACGGCTGGGCTTCCGTTTGTAGTCCGTAATAGTTTGCAAGCCCTGCCACATCCGACGAGCGTCGGAGCCGGTGTAGTAGGATTCAATCTTAGTCCTGTATTTACGCTTTGCCTGTTTGATGGTTAGTCTGAGGGCATAGCAGGATTCCTTATAAGCATCCAGGTTATTGTCCCGCTCCTTGAAAGTGGCAGCTCTACCCTTTAGCTCAGTGTGGATGTTGCCTGTAATCCATAGCTTCTGGTTGGGGTATGTACGTAGGGTCACTGTGGGGATGACGTCATCGATGCACTTATTGATGAAGCCGGTGCCTGATATGGTATACTTCTCAATGCCATCGGATGAATCCCGAAACATATTCCAGTCTGTTCTAGCAAAACAGTCCTGTAGCTTAGCATCTGGTCATCTGATCACATCTGTACTGAGCGAGTCACTGGTTTTGCTTGTAAGCAGGAATCAGCAGGATAGAATTATGGTCAGATTTTCCAAATGGAGGGCGAAGGAGAGCTTTGTACGCATCTCTGTGTGTGGAGTAAAGGTGGTCTAGAGTTTTTTTCCCTCTGGTTGCACATGTAACATCCTGGTAGAAATTAGGTAAAATGGCTTTACGTTTTCCTGCATTAAAGTCCCCGGCCACTAGGCGCGCCGCCTCTGGATGAGCATTTTCTTGTTTGCTTATGGCCTTATACAGGTCTTAGTGCCAGCATCGGTTTGTGGTGGTAAATAGTCAGCTACGTAAAATATAGATGAAAACTCTCTTGGTAAACAGTGTGGTCTACAGCTTGTCATGAGATACTCTACCTCAGGCGAGCCAAACCTTGAGACTTCCTTAAAATTAGATTTTGCGCACCAGCTGTTATTGACAAATAGACCCAGACCGCCACCCCTTGTCTTAACGGATGCAGCTCTTCTGTCTTATCGATGCACGGAAAAACCAGCCAACTGTATATTATCCATGTCGTCATTCAGCCACAACTCGGTGAAACATAAGATATTATAGTTTTTAATGTCCCGCTGGTAGGATAGTCTTGAATGGAGCTCATCCAGTTTATTCTCCATTGATTGAACGTTGGCCAATAGGACGGATGGTAGAGGCGGGTTACCCACTCACCAACGACTTCTCACAAGGCACCCAGACCTGCGTCCCCTGTATCGGCGTCTCTTCTTCATGCGAATGATGTGGATTTGGGCCTGGTCTGGTGTCAGCAGTAAATCCTTCGCGTCCGACTCGTTAAAGAAAAAATCTTTGTCCAGTTCGAGGTGAGTAATCGCTGTTCTGATATTCAGAAGTTATTTTTGGTCATAAGAGACGGTGGCAGAAACATTATGTACCAAATAAGTTACAATGCGAAAAAACACACAAAATAGCACAATTGGTTAGGAGCCTGTAAAATGCCAGCCATCTCCTCCGGCGCATATGTTATCTTTGGTATGATTAGATAAGAGAGGTTACTTAAGGTAAAAAAAACAAAAGGAGGGTGGTTGGTTGGGCAGGCGAACCTCTAGCAACCCATAGATTGCGTGTTGGAATCTCATCATGGACAACTTTAGCATTTTAGCTAATTAGCAACGTTGCAACAACTTACTACTTAGCATGTTAGCTAACCCTTCCCCTAACCCTTTAACCTAACTCCTAACCCTAACCCTATCCTTGACCCTAACCTTAAGCCTAACCCCCGCTAACTTTAGCCACCTAGCTAACGTTAGCGACCTATCTAATGTTAGCCACAGCAAATGTAATTCGTAACATATCATTCAAATTGTAATTCGTAACATATCATACAAAATGGTTGACGGACATCCACAAGGTAATAAATACCATACCAAATGTAACATATTTGAGTGTCCCGGATTTTCGTTTACTATGGTACGTCTACCCCTGAGTCCAGGTTGGCTTACAGGGTGTGGGGAGTATTATTTTTGAATGAAACTCTCTTACCACTAAACAGGTGTATGGGCAGTGTCTGGCATCTATCTACGTTGGAATAAGTGTGGAACTCCGCAGCTATAAATGTACCATCCAACAAGGTAGAGTCTGGTTAGTAGGGTTTTGAGTTTTTCCTGGTCAGGTCAATAGGTCAGGGAAAATATACAGTATGTACTGTAACCACAAAACCCCTTCAGTTGAATGACCTACTGTGTATTGTTGCTTTAGTTTGACTAACCTGTAGTAATGACCTATAGTAGTGAGCCCTTACCTTGTGTCCAGTGCCTGCCATGGTCATCGTCAACACGTGTCCAGACTGTCCAACAGTAGAGCACCTGGATGACCCCATCATAGCGGAGACGGCCAATCTGTCCCTCCAGACATAGAACAGAAAGAGTCGCCTCCCCAACTACTTCACCCTCATCAACCTAACAGGAGCTAGCATGCAGTTCATTCTATGTTGTATGGCAGATATGCCAATTTTGCTATTGAAATAAAATGTAACTTTGCTGTTGTCTTGGAGAGGAGTAGAAGGCACTCAACCAACATGAGATGAGGTGCAACCAAAAATCATAAAAGCATTTGAAGGGAATAGATGTGACTCTCGCTCACAATTAAAAACTTGATGTTGTAACAACTATTTCAAGTTAAAATCACTTTGCTGTCATCTTCACAGTGGGTTGACCATTCAAGAGAAGGTCTCTGCTAAGGACAATCCTGACGTTGATCTGACCCAATGTAAAATGATGGACTGTGAATTTTTAATGGAGTACAACACTACAGCAACACACTGTCTATCACATTCTGAAATAGGTAAAAAGGGAAAACCAACTGGTCAAAATTATGATTTGTATGTGGCAAGCTGGCAGCTATTCAGTGGAGGAAAGTAGCCTACTGTAGACCCACATCAGCCTCACACCATTCTCAGTGATTTCACTATGTCATCATATCCAGTTTCTCTGTTTGACCAATCATATTCCGTGTTCTGTCCCCTAGCACAAGGGCTCTGCACAGGCTTTCACACCACTCTGGATGATGGCACATTTGATACCAAACTTCCCATCGAGGTCAAGTGTGAAATCTTTGAACCAGAGGTAGGAACCTTCCACAACAGTGCCATCACTGCCATGCCATGATGAAACCTCAGTAACATAGAGACAGCACAGTAGTAACCTCAGAAATAGGGCAGATAAGACCCCCCACAATGCAGGCTTTTGTTCCATTCCTGATCTGACTAAATTGTGATGTAAATTCAAGACCAAGACTAGGTCTAGGTCTAGGGGTAGGGGAAAGGGGTTGATCTCGGAGTGGGCATAATGTTCTGATTGTCCCATTTCATAAGCACTTTACAAATAAAGTTATTATCATTACTATGTCCATCTCCAAGGCTGCAAAGGCAGAGGAAGCCCATGCTAGAGAAGACAGTGGGCATCAAAGTGATGATGAGAACCATAAACATGCACACACACACTGCTTGCTGTGGGGTCGTGGTGGCCTTACCTCCCCCTCATGTGCCACCACCTCAAAGAGCCTCACCAGCAGCAAGCAACTGTCCAGGCAAGAGAAAAAACAACCTGGGACTGGACAGGTTTAAAATCTGATTGATAAACATCTTACGTTACTGCAATAACAGCTTATTAACACTTTTCTGAGATACAAAGCTATTTGGTCATGAGGGCACTATGACTCCAATACTTCCCCTCTTTTGGTCTGCTAAATGGCATATTATTATATTATTTTGCCCTGGCTGGATGTTTTTTTTGCTATCTTGGATCACAGATGTAAAGAATTCCACAACATTGTACTGTATGACAATATGAACTATGATGTGTGTGTATCAGAGAAATAAATGAATAGTTTACAATGGATATATTTTCAGTGGTCATAATTTATTGTGCAATTGTAGCCAATTCATATGGAGCCCTGGAGGTGACATTGACATATGTTTTTATACATTTAAACATGTTCTCATCTGATGTGAAGAGCAAAAGTGTGTGTTTCAAAACCATGATTAATGTCAAACAAATGACTCTCACAAATATTTATGTCACTGTAGTTTTACAGTAGATGGGGTTGTGGTACAGGGGTATGCGTCAACATTTACAATAGCAAATGAAAGCCACAGCGCCTTACTGACAGGGAAATCAACCAATCAACGCTGGATATGGAGTTGTTGTTTCTAGTTGTCACTTTCACACATAGCACCGCATGAACTCATCAAACTCTTTCAAACTGTGTTCCTTTTTAGATATACTTAGCTTATACTTATGATTTCTGTGTAGAAAAGCGCAAGTGGAGTAAACTTACCAGGGACTGGGTAAAAAACTACTTTTCGAGTTCAACAAATTCTGCCTGCTCATCACAAGAAGGTGGGGGCATGTGATATCATGATCAAGTTATCTGGCTACTGGCTAACCTCGATAGAGACCGTGAAAACAAGCCCTGCATTGTCCGGACAGAAGCGATGTAGCTATCTTGTTGTACAAATCGTGTTTCTCGACGCAATTAACGGAAAAAAGTGAAGATGGTTCACGTATACAACTGCCACCCCTTCGCTTCCCAGCAAATCGTGCCAGCCGAACAGGAGCCGGGGTTGGTGTGTTGTGGCGGGGGTGCCTTGTTTGTGGTGTCCGCGGGAGGATGCAAGATCGAGGCATTTCAACTAGAAGAGGAGGGGTGTCCTCTTATCTGCCGCTTCGCCACCATGGGAACTGTGCAGAGCATCCTGCACAGCGAGATAGGTGTGCGACTTTCTTAATCACACTTCACCTTTCCGTCTTTGCGCAGTTGTTTACTCACATAGTTTATAAACCGAGGTACAGCATCGCGAGACTTCCGGGAACGCTTGCCAAACAGACCAGGCCAGGGTTAGAGGTTTGAAAAGTCAATGAGTGAAACATTCTTCCTTAGCTGTTAATTTTCTCGAAATCTAAAGGCACAACCTCGATTCGAGCCAATGGCTTAAGTAGTTGAACATGTTATTACTCCAACCCTTGTGAAAGTGACAAACTAACACGTTTTCATTTTCATAAAAAACTACTTTATATCAAAGGAGTGCCTTTGATTTGATGGCCTGCCCATACGAAAAAAGATTGCAGTCAGAATAGAGTGCAGCAGGGGCGCAACTTTGGTTTTAGAAGTGGGGGTGACATTATTATTATTTGTTTTTGTTTTTATCCAGTCGGATAAACACTGTAAAAAGCATATCTCGTTTTGTAAACTGGGGGGGACAGAAATGCCATTTCAGAATGTGGGGGGGACATGTCCTCTCTGCCCCCAGTGAAAGTAACTCTAGTTAGAGTGCAGTATAACTGCAGTATGCTGCAATTACTGCGTCCAAAATACCACAGTCGGCTGCAGTTACTGCACTTTTACTGCAGTTTCAAAACTGCAATCGTTTTTTTGTATGTGTGCAAATGCGCCGTTCAGATCAAGGCGACCGTTAGACCCGATGACGTTTCTATGCATGAGCTTTGCTAGCCACCGTCGCCATGACATCAGCTAAAAGTGTGATCGGGGATTTCTATTGCAGAAGCAGTTTTAGCTTCATACTGTACTGTCTTTGGTTTACTGCTGAGTGAGTGACGTGCATCAGCATGTGTGTATAGCTAGAGTTTGTGAATGCAGTCAAAGGAAAAAAAACAATAGTCTAATTTGGATCCCTCGTAAAAAGTGTCTTACATTGAAAATTAATTCATCCAGCCTAATTTCCCACAGAATATACACAGAATATAAATGAATGAATATGGAATATAATAATTTAATAACTCTCCACTCATGACAATCTCCTCATCCGTGTTCTCACCTCCTCTCCCCTCTGTCCTCCCCTGTCACCCCAGGGGACTACCTGGTGACCATCGAGGAGAAGAACAATGCCACCTACCTCCGCGCCTACACCAACTGGCGCTACCAGGCAGCCGAGAAGACCCGTGTGGGTGTGCGTCTGCTGGGCCACTTCCTGCGTGGCTCATCCCTGTGTGGAGCTCCCAAGGAGCAGATGGAGATCATTGAGATCCCGCTGTTTCAGCGTCCACTGTGTGTAGCGTGTTGTGGGGTGACAGGGGACCTGCTGGTGGGGTGTCCTAAGAGCCTGGTGCTGTTTAGTCTCAAGAGACAGGCCCTCAACGACAAGCTCTCCATCCTGGACTTTGAGCGTTGTCTGATCCTCCACCTCCCAGGACTGTCAGCCCAACAGGTAGGGGTTGGGATTTCGGTAATCTTGTTTTACCAGCCAGTTCTTTCTGTGGAACTTGTTATATTTGGTAGTATTTAGCCTGGGGAGGATGAGGTTAGGGTTTGGGAAGTTTATTCCGTAATGCAAACTTTGCATACAAAATATTATTTAATAGAGTATTTATTAACGTTGCTTTCCCTGCCTGCAGGTGGCGATCTGTGCGGGGTACATTGCCCTGCAGGCAGAGCTGGAAGTACTGGTGGTTAAGCTGGAGAGACTTCCTGGCGCCGCCCCTACCCAGAAGCCAGCTGACAAGGAGTTCCAGGACCACTCTCTGGTCCCGAAGGATATGATCACTGGAGCAGAACACGACAATGAGATAGGTAACACGACAAGCGCCACACAGTATGTTTCATGATTAACTACTCATGGTGTGATTGTGGTAATGTACAGGAACTCACCCGACCTAGAATATCTCACAATCAAATACCGACCGCATGACCTCCCAAGAGAATTATCTTCGGTCATCGTCACAGCCGTGTAAATTCCCCATCAAGCCGATACCACGATGGCTCTCAAGGAACTACACTGGACTTTGTGCAAACTGGAAACTGCACATCCTGAGGCCGCATTTATTGTAGCTGGGGACTTTAATAAAGCAAATCTGAAGAAAACGTTACCGGAGTTCTATCAACACATTTCCTGCGCCACTTGCACTTCATAAACTCTCGACCATTGCTACTCTCCCTTCCGGGACGGCTACAAGGCCCACCCCCACCCTCCCTTCAGCAAATCAGATCATGCCTCCATCCTGTCCTCCCTTTCTATAGGCAGGAACTCAAACAGGAAGTGCCCGTGGTAGGGACTGTTCAACGCTGGTCTGACCAATCGGAATCCATGCTTCAAGATTGTTTTGATCACGCGGACTGGGATATGACGGGTTGCCTCTGAGAATAACATTGACGCATACACTGACACGGTGACTGAGTTCATCAGGAAGTGTATAGGGGATGTTGTTCCCACTATGACTATTAAAACCTATCCAAATCAAAAACGTGGATAGATGGCAGCATTGGCGCGAAAACTGAAAGCGCGAACCACCGCATTTAACCACGGCAAGGTGACTGGGAATATGGTTGAATACAAACAGTCCAGTTATGCCCTTTGTAAGGCACTGTAACAGGCAAAACGTCAGTACAGAGACAAAGTGGAGTCACAAGTTAACGGCTCAGACACGAGACGTACAGTGCCTTTGGAAAGTATTCAGACCCCTTGACTTTTTCCACATTTTGGTAGGTTACAGCCTTATTCTAAAATTAATTAAATTGTTTTTTCCCCTCATCAATCTACACACAATACTCCATAATGACAAAGCCAAAACAGGATATAGAGATTTATGCCTATTTATCTTTTTCTTTTTTTTACTTAAATATTACATATACATGTGTATTCAGACCCTTTACTCAGTAATTGGCAGCGATTACAGCCTCGAGTCTTCTTGTGTATGACGCTACAAGCTTGGCACACCTGTATTTGGGGAGTTTCTCCCATTATTCTCTGCAGATCCTCTCAAGCTCTGTCAGGTTGGATGGGGAGCATTGCTGCACAGCTATTTTCAGGTCTCTCCAGAGATGTTCGATCAGGTTCAAGCCCGGGCCCTGGCTGGGCCACTCAAGGACATTCAGAGACATGTCCCGAAGCCACTCCTGCGTTGTCTTGGCTGTGTGCTTAGGGTTGTTGTCCTGTTGGAAGGTGAACCTTCACCCCAGTCTGAGCTCCTGAGTGCTCTGGAGCAGGTTGTTATCAAGGATCTCTCTGTACTTTGCTCCATTCATCTTTGCCTTGATCCTGACTAGTCTCCCAGTCCCTGCCGCTGAAAAACATCCCCACAGCATGATGGTGCCACAACCATGCTTCACCGTAGGGATGGTGCCAGATTTCCTCCAGAAGTGACCATTGGCATTCAGGCCAAAGAGTTCAATCTTAGTTTCATCAGACCAGAGAATCTTGTTTCTAATGGTCTGAGAGTCTTTAGGTGCCTTTTGGCAAACTCCAAGCGGGCTGTCATGTGCCTTTTACTGAGGAGTGGCTTCCGTCTGGCCACTCTACCATAAAGGCCTGATTGGTGGAGTGCTGCAGAGATGGTTGTCCTTCAGGAAGGTTCTCCCATCTCCACAGAGGCACTCTTGAGCTCTATCAGAGTGACCATCGGGTTCTTGGTTACCTCCCTGACCAAAACGTGTTTTTTTTTTTTTTTTACTGCGGGTTTCTATTTATTTAATCTATTTTAGAATAAGGCTGTAACGTAACAAAATGTGGAAAAATTGAAGGGGTCAGAATACTTTTTGAAGGCACTGTATGTGGCAGGAACTCCAGACAATCACGGATTATAAAGGGAAAAGCAGCCACATCGCAAACACCGACGTCTTGCTCCCGGACAAGCTAAACACCTTCTTCGCCTGCTTCGAGGGAAACACAGTGCTGCCGATGCGGGCCACCACACAGTCCTCGTGGGCGGTGGGGGCCCACATCGGTGGCTTTTCCTCAAAGCGGGCGAAGAAGGTGTTTAACTTGTCCGGGAGCGAGGCTTTTCCTTTATAATCCGTAGTTGTCTGGAGTCGTTGAATTGTGACTGTGCTGTCAATTTGCCTCTTTGATTGCCGGAGTTCATAGCTGTTCTGTTTATACACATCCATGTTCCCAGTCACCTTGCCGTGGTTAAATGCGGTGGTTGGTGCTTTTTTCAAATGCTGCCATCTGTCCATGGTTTTTGATTTGGATAAATTCGAATCGTCACAGTAGGAACAGCATCCTCTATGCACTTCCTGATGGACCCAGTCATGGAGTCAGTGTATACGTTGATACTATTCCCAGAGGCGATCCGCAACATTTCCCGTCCACGTGATCAAAACAGTCTTGATGCATAGATTCCGATTGTTTAGACCAACGTTGAACAGTCCTTACCACGGGTTCTTCCTGCTTAAGTTTCTGGCTATAGGCGGGGAGGAGCAGGATGGAGGTGTGATCTGATTTCCCAAAGGGAGGGCTGGGGTGGGCCTTGTAGCCTTCCCGGAAGGGAGAGTAACAATGGTCAAGCGTGTTCTCTCCGCGTGTAGCACAGTTGTTCTCAGATTTCCTTTATTAAAGTCCCCAGCTACAATAAATGCGGCCACAGATGCTGCAGATACTACAAACTTCACCAAAAATGGTATGGTTGTATATTCTGTCTGATTGGGTTGTGTTTACATTGTCTTTGTATTCCCCAGAGGTGAGGAAAGAGGGTCTAGCCGGTCACCTTGATCAGGATGACTTCTTCATATTCCCTAAGCACCAGGAGCTGCTGGGGGACAGGGCCAAGGACTGTGGGGTCAAGGTCTCTCTGGAGTGGACAAGCATGGAGAGTGAGGCCAGGGGCATCCTCGCTATCACTTATATCTTATACAGGTGTGGATGTACATGTGGGAGCTGTTGTCGTGTAGTATGTGTCTGTGTGTGTGTCTCTAAGTGTCTGTGTTTGCGTGCTACGTGCGTGTGTACTAGGGGTTGGTCTCATTCTATTGGGTCTCCCCTCTCAAGGCGTTTTGCTCCAGACTTCTTCCAAGGCTGCAGTGTAGAGGAGACCCGCCTGCACTCCCTGCAGTTCCACCCTGTGTTCACCAGTGAGTCATAACTTATTTACACTGTTCCTGCTTATTGAAGTAACATGTACTGTAAATACATAGGTAGGTAGGAGGCACACATACAGTATCTCACAAAAGTGAGTACACACCTCACATTTATGTAAATATTTGAGTATATCTTTGCACTGAATAAATGACACTTTGCTACAATGTAAAGTAGTGAGTGTACAGCTTGTATAACAGTGTAAATTTGCTGTCCCCTCAAAATAACACAACACACAGCCATTAATGTCTACACCGCTGGCAACAAAAGTGAGTACAACCCTAAGTGAAAATGTCCAAATTGGGCCCAAAGTGTCAATATTTTGTTTGGCCACCATCATTTCCCAGCACTACCTTAACCCTCTTGGGCATGGAGTTCACCAGAGCTTCACAGGTTGCCACTGGAGTCCTCTTCCACTCCTCCATGACGACATCACGGAGCTGGTGGATGTTAGAGACCTTGCACTCCTCCACCTTCCGTTTGAGGATGCCCCACAGATGCTCAATAGGGTTTAGGTCTGGAGACATGCTTGGCCAGTCCATCACCTTTACCCTCAGCTTCTTTAGCAAGGCAGTGGTCGTCTTGGAGGTGTGTTTGGGGTTGTTATCATGTTGGAATACTGCCCTGCGGCCCAGTCTCCGAAGGGAGGGGATCATGCTCTGCATCAGTATGTCACAGTACATGTTGGCATTCATGGTTCCCTCAATGAACTGTAGCTCCCCAGTGCCGGCAGCACTCATGCAGCCCCAGACCATGACACTCCCACCACCATGCTTGACTGTAGGCAAGACACACTTGTCTTTGTACTCCTCACCTGGTTGCCGCCACAAACGCTTGACACCATCTGAACCAAATAAGTTTATCTTGGTCTCATCAGACCACAACATGGTTCCAGTAATCCATTTCCTTAGTCTGCTTGTCTTCAGCAAACTGTTTGCGGGCTTTCTTGTGCATCATCTTAAGAAGAGGCTTCCTTCTGGGACGACAGCCATGCAGACCAATTTGATGCAGTGTGCGGCGTATGGTCTGAGCACTGACAGGCTGACCCCCCACCCCTTCAACCTCTGCAGCAATGCTGGCAGCACCCATACGTCTATTTCCCAAAGACAACCTCTGGATATGACGCTGAGCACGTGCACTCAACTTCTTTGGTCGACCATGGCGAGGCCTGTTCTGAGTGGAACCTGTCCTATTAAACCGCTGTATGGTCTTGGCCACCGTGCTGCAGCTCAGTTTCAGGGTCTTGGCAATCTTCTTATAGCCCAGGCCATCTTTATGTAGAGCAACAATTCTTTTTTTCAGATCCTCAGAGAGTTCTTTGCCATGAGGTGCCATGTTGAACTTCCAGTGACCAGTATGAGGGAGTGTGAGAGCGATGAAACCAAATGTAACACACCTGCTCCTCATTCACACCTGAGACCTTGTAACACTAACGAGTCACATGACACCGGGGAGGGAAAATGGCTAATTGGGCCCAATTTGGACATTTTCACTTAGGGGTGTACTCACTTTTGTTGCCAGCGGTTTAGACATTAATGGCTGTGTGTTGAGTTATTTTGAGGGGACAGCAAATGTACAGTGTTATACAAGCTGTACACTCACTACTTTACATTGTAGCAAAGTGTCATTTCTTCAGTGTTGTCACATGAAAAGATATACTCAAATATTTTCAAAAATGTGAGGTGTGTACTCACTTTTGTGAGATACTGTATTGTAAAGTAGGACCTATTTCTACATTCCCTCCTTCACTCCTCATCCCTCTATGTTCTATTGGTCTTCTCTCCCTGACAACCAGGTAACCAGGAAGTGTGTGTGGAGGGGGGTAGAGGGGTGGAGCCGACGTGTGTGTTCTGTTTCTTCTCGCTGCCCAACACGGGCTACGTGTACAGCGTGAGGGGCGGGGTGGAGATGGTCTCAGTCTATCAGTATCCGGAGAAAGCCCAGCAGGCCGTCCTCACTGACCTCTTCCTCCACATCATCACCAAGTAAGGACAGGACTGGACTGGGCCTCTCGAGAAAGAATACAAAGTCCATGAGACTGATATTACTGATTGATTAATTGATTGATTGATTGATTGTTTGAGTCTGGTCTTATCTACCTCTTCTAAATGTAATAGTACCTGTGTGTTTGTCAGGAATGCTCTCCAGTGTTTCTCAGTGAGGTGTGCTGCAGTGGCAGCCAGAGCTGAGGACCCTTACATCGATACCACCATGAAGGTGAGGATCACTCCACTGCCCTTAGCTAATGGAGACAGATCAACCCCGCTAACACCTACTGCTTACACCTACATCTATGCCTTAGACCTCCTCCTTATTGATCTGAAGGATGCTTTGACTGTGGCTTCCCTTCTTGTGTGTGATTGGCTGTGCTCTGATTGGCACTGCTACACAATGAGACAGGAAGCCATTAAAGTGGATCAGAGCTTCTGCAGATCTACAGATGGCTGGCTGCTTGGCTCAGATCAGTGTGTTACATTCACAAAGATGGAGGAGCTGGAAAGGGCTCAAATTGACAACCACTTACACAGTTGCATCTGGTCACAAGAATCTCATTGTTTTATGCAGTGTGTGTTTGTGTCTATGCATGTGCAAAATAATTGCTGCTATAGCTATTTTCAAAGTATTTCTGACGTTTTGTTTCATAGCGGGTAGCTAATCACACAAAGAACTACAAAGAGTCCCATATTTCCCAGAGTCTCGCGCAGCAACAGTGCCAGGGGTGCTGTGCCCACCGTGTGTGAAGTGCTGAAAGATTCATTTTTAGAAGTGCATAGAAGTTGATCGAATTTACCCGAAAGGCTACTAAAGTGTGACTTTGTCTTCGTGTTTCTTGGCTATTTACACTGCCCTGTGAGCCATATAAAAATAAAAAAAATGTAAGCCTACCTTCAGTTTCTAGTTTCCTAGTGTAAGACCATAACATCTGCAAGAAACGGTTGGCATGTAACAGCATTAATGTGATTACTTTAATGAATCCCAAAGATACACAAGTGTAATTACAATTTCACCAACTAAACATAAACAATCACCAGGTAATAAAAGTAGCTGAAGTGTAACTGGCTGTTGTGTTGTGTGCAGGCCTGTCCCCCCATCACCATGGAGGTGAGTGCTTTGCGTATCCAGCTGTTCATTGGTCTAAAGGCTCTGTGTCACGATCGCCACCACATCGTCCTGCTGACCGCTGCAGACGTGGAGACCAGGGAGGTCACAGAGAGGGCTGCACGCAGGAGCCTGTAGGTCACACACACACAGTCAGAGACTGTAGCTAGAGCTACACTTGATTAGAAAGGAAATATACCTGTGCAGTTGACTCAAATCAAACTAAATACTGCTTCAAAATCTGACCAATTCAAATTACGAGAATGCTATAGATCTATGGTAAGATATCTGATCTAGGGCTGGCCGATATATCATATTTTAAGGTATACCGGTATTGATCCACATACCGGTATTACTTTTTTCAATACCATCTATAATGGTATTTTGATACAGTGCTAAATTCATGAAAAGTTACTTCACTGTCAGTTTTGTCCTAGTTAGGTTGAGTATAAAACAATCAGAATGGAAAAGCCCATTAAAACCACTTAGAATTCATTTGTTGCCATCCTAGGGGTTGTGCACTGCTCATAAAACACATTTAGAACTTATATTATTCAGAAACATAAAATACTGTCAAAAATGTAAAAATATTGTGATACGATATTTTGGCATATCACCCAGCCCAAATCTGATCCTACCCATAGAACAACTTGCTGTGTAGCACAATTAAACAAACATTCAGTCACTACACACATCCATCATTTAGCACTGAAACTGCACTTTATTTCTTCACATTTGTGTTCAAAAGATTGCATTCGGAAAGTATTCAGACCCCTTGACTTTTTCCATATTTTGTTACAGCTTTATTTTTAAATTGATTAGATTGTTTTTTCCCCCTCAATCTACACACAATATCCCATAATGACAAAGCAAAAACAGGTTTTTAGAAATGTTTGCAAATGTATTAAAAATAAAAAACGGAAATATACATTTACATACAGTGGTGTGAAAAAGTGTTTGCCCCCTTCCTGATTTCTTATTTGTTTGCATGTTTGTCACACTTAAATGTTTCAGATCATCAAACAAATTTAAATATTAGTCAAAGATAACACAAGTAAACACAAAATGCAGTTTTGAAATGAAGGTTGTTATTATTAAGGGAAAACAAATTCAAACCCACATGGCCCTATGTGAAAAAGTGATTGCCCCCTACAACCTAATAACTGGTTGGGCCACCCTTATCAGCAACAACTGCAATCAAGCGTTTGCGATAACTTGCAATTAGTCTTTTACAGCGCTGTGGAGGAATTTTGGCCCGCTCATCTTTGCAGAATTGTTGTAATTCAGCCACATTGGAGGGTTTTCGAGCATGAACTGCCTTTTTAAGGTCATGCCACAGCATCTCAATAGGATTCAGGTCAGGACTTTGACTAGGCCACTCCAAAGTCTTCATTTTGTTTTTCTTCAGCCATTCAGAGGTGGACTTGCTGGTGTGTTTTGGATCATTGTCCTGCTGCAGAACCCAAGTTCGCTTCAGCTTGAGGTCAAGAACAGATGGCCGGACATTCTCCTTCAGGAGTTTTTGGTAGACAGCAGAATTCATGGTTCCATTTATCACAGCAAGTCTTCCAGGTCCTGAAGCAGCAAAACAGGCCCAGACCACACTACCACCACCATATTTTACTGTTGGTATGATGTTATTTTTCTGAAATGCGGTGTTATTTTACGCCAGATGTAATGGGGGACACACCTTCCAAAAAGTTCAACTTTTGTCTCGTCAGTCCACAGAGTATTTTACCAAAGGTCTTGGGGTCATCAAGATGTTATCTGGCAAAAATGAGACGAGCCATAATGTTATTTTTGCTCAGCAGTGGTTTTCGTCTTGGAACTCTGCCATGCAGGCCATTTTTGCCCAGTCATGAACACTGACCTTAACTGAGGCAAGTGAGGCCTGCAGCTCTTTGGATCTTGTTGTGGGGTCTTTTGTGACCTCTTGGATGAGTCGTCACTGCGCTCTTGGGGTAATTTTGGTCGGCCGGCCACTCCTGGGAAGGTTCACCACTGTTCCATGTTTTCGCCATTTGTGGATAATGGCTCTCACTGTGGTTCGCTGGAGTCCCAAAGCTTTAGAAATGGCTTTATAACTTTTCCATACTGATGGATCTCAATTACTTTCTTTCTCATTTGTTCCTGAATTTCTTTGGATCTCGGCATGATGTCTAGCTTTTGATGATCTTTTGGTCTACTTCACTTTGTCAGGCAGGTCCTATTTAAGTGATTCCTTGATTGAGAACAGGTGTGGCAGTAATCAGGCCTGGGTGTGGCTAGAGGAATTGAACTCAGGTGTGATAAACCACAGTTGAGTTGTGTTATAACAGGGGGGGCAAACACTTTTTCACACAGGGCCATGTAGGTTTGGATTTTGTTTTCCCTTAATAATAACAACCTTCATTTCAAAACTGAATTTTGTATTTAATTGTGTTATCTTTGACTAATATTTAAATTTGTTTGATGATCTGAAACATTTAAGTGTGACAAACATGCAAACAAATAACAAATCAGGAAGGGGGCAAACACTTTTTCACACCACTGTAAGTATTCAGACCCTTTACTCAGTACTTTGTTGAAGCACCTTTTGCAGCGATTACTGCCTCTAGTCTTCTTGGGTATGACACTACAAGCTTGGCACACCTGTATTTGGGGAGTTTCTCCCATTCTTCTCTGCAGATCGTCTCAAGCTCTGTCAGGTTGGATGGGGAGCGTCGCTGCAAAGCTATTTTCAGGTCTCTCCAGAGATGTTCGATGGGGTTCAAGTCCAGGCTCTGGCTGGGCCACTCAAGGACATTCAGAGACTTGTCCCGAAGCCACTCCTGCATTATCTTGGCTGTGTGCTTAGGGTCGTTGTCCTGTTGGAAGGTGAACCTTCGCCCCAGTCTGAGGTCCTGAGCCCTCTGGAGCAGGTTTTCATCAAGGATCTCTCTGTACTTTGCTCCGTTCATCTGACTAGATCCTGACTAGTCTCCCAGTCCCTGCCGCTGAAAAACATCCCCACAGCATGATGCTGCCACCACCATGCTTCACCGTAGGGATGGTGCCAGGTTTCCTCCAGACGTGACGCTTGGCATTTAGGCCAAAGAGTTCAATTTTGGTTTCATCAGACCAGATAATCTTGTTTCTCATGGTCTGAGAGTCCTTTAGGTGCCTTTTGGCAAACTCCAAGCGGGCTGTCATGTTCCTTTTACTGAGGAGTGGCTTCTGTCCGGCCACTCTACCATAAAGGCCTGATTGGTGGAGTGCTGCAGAGATGGTTGTCCTTCAACTCTAGGAAGAGTCTTGGTGGTTCCAAACTTCTTCCATTTAAGAATGATGGAGGCCACTGTGTTCTTGGGGACCTTCAATGCTGCAGAACTTTTTTGGTACCCTTCCTCAGATCTGTGCCTCGACACTATCCTGTCTCAGAGCTCTACGGACAATTCCTTCGACCTCATGGCTTGGTTTTTGCTCTGACATGCACTGTCAACTGTGGGACCTTTATATAGACAGGTGTGTGCCTTTCCAAATCATGTCCAATCAATTGAATTTACCACAGCTGGACTCCAATCAAGTTGTAGAAACATCTCATGGATGATCAATGGAAACAGGATGCACCTGAGCTAAATTTTGAGTCTCATAGCAAAGGGTCTGAATACTTATGTAAATAAGGTATTTCTGTTTTAAATTTTTTATAAATTAGCAAACATTTCTAAAAACCTGTTTTCGCTTTGTCATTATGGGGTATTGTGTGTAGATTGATGAAGAAAATGTTTTATTTAATCCATTTTAGAATAAGGCTGTAAACGTAACAACATTTTGAAAAAGTAAAGGGGTCTGAATACTTTCCCGAATGCACTGTTTCTCCCTTCCTGTGCTTTACAATTGTGCCTGTAACTCTTATTGTAGCGAATGCAAAGATCACCAAACCCTTACAGGGATTTTCCTAGCGATAGGTATAGAGCCCTCCAACACAACCGGTCTGGAGAGCTTCCTGGCTCGCTCCTTCTTGTAAGTCTCCTGGCCCCTTGATGGTGTATCCCCCTGTAGTCCACCTAAAATGTCCCTCAAACCCCAACCCCACTAAAACAACCCTAACATCTCCCTGTGTGGCTAGTCACTAACAGTGTATGGACTAAACATAGGACATCAGTGTTATGATATCACCTACAGTGCTTTCAGAAAGTTTTCAAACCCCTTGAACTATTCCACATTTTGTTGAGTTAGGGGGCTGTGTAGAAATATACCCACCAGTTGAAGCTCATTTACTGTACTCCTACACAATTTTAAAACTCTAAAATGCTATTTGGAGAACAGCAAAAACACAGTATCACCGCAATGTTAGGTTTATAGGTCTATGGAATGGCGTGTACAATGTACTAGTCAACCTCATCATACATAGGCTACATTGACTCATTTAGCCTACTTTTGGAACAGTGCAACGTGAAATAGATGCATAATACACAATATCAAGGCCGACTTCAAATATCAACATTAATGTGAAAATAACCGGAGCATTAAACAGCTGACTGTAAATGCAAACTATGCCAGATAAATCCTACACATGCATTGAAATAAAAGGCATATGTCAAAGGAATTACTTAGGCCTACAATCGGCAAGGATGCATCAAGATAAACAAACTCGACCAAGGAATAAAGAAAAATGTACACATTAGGCCACGCCCGTGATTTAGCACCGCTGAGTGGACAGTGCCTCGGTACAGGTAGGCATAGTGGCAGCATCTCTGTCTAGTAGCCAGCTAGAATTAGGCTATTCAGTTTGTGGGCAGTTCGACATTTTCTGGGCAGAGTTAAGTAGACTACAATTTTTATATTGAAATCATAACTGGCAGGCAGATCTTTAGAAATTGTAGGATCAATTGTAAATGGTCACTCATATGAAAAAGGTTGCAGACCCCCTGCTATAGGTTATATAAAGTCATTTGGTATTTGCATGTCTGCATTATTCGCCAGGGAAGGGAAACATTCTGAGAATATTCAAACATTGTATCAATGAACGAGGCAGCATTTTGTATCAACAAGACTGCTCCGAGAATATTAATATTGCAACATAGTAGCCAACTCGAAGGCGGCCCACAACATTTTCCCCCCGGGCCAGCTTGTCTCTGTCTGATATTATTGTGTTTGGTGCTCATTATATAGAATATACAGGCACCACATGACCACTAGAAGTAAGAAGTGAGGCCAGGCATTCACAGAAGCAAAGTAGGGCAACGTGTAGGAAATTCTGATCCTCCAACAAGCTGACCCTTTCTCCAAATCACACACACTGTTACACACAGGGGGCTTTCATATCACATGAGAGTGCTTGGCACTGCAGCCATGAGCTACTTAGGAAGGACAAGGAGAGGGAGTGTTTAACTGGCTAATAACGTCATGTCCGTTATTAGCTGTATCAGCTAGAGGCTATACAGGACATAATAATAATAATAATAATAATAATAATATGCCATTTAGCAGACGCTTTTACACACACACACACACACAATGGGTTCAGTACATGAGTCTGTAGGCCTTGTGTGTTAACATGTGGAGTTATGAAGAAAAACATGCAACATGTTTGATTCACATTAACTCCAGAAACCCTGCCCTCAATAACTTCCACTGGTGATTGTTTTTGATTTGTAGGTAGTCATGCTAGCTAGTTCCTCAAACTAACCTCTAAGGAAAAGTTAAACTGGAAAATTTTAACTGGAACTGAAACTAAATGTTTGGTGGTCTTTTACCTCATAGGTTTGTGCCACTCGTGAACTCAAATTGCGCAAGACAGTTAGCATTTTGCATGGTCCACACCAGGGTCTACTGTAACCTCTTGTGTTTAATGTTATTGGAGCTGAGCTGTAGTTTCTGACCTAGAAGCTGTAATATCTGTGGCCCAGAATGACCAGTGTTACAGAAGTGACTGGCGTTATGGAGATGAGCTGATTGTACTTCCTGCGTCTCTGACCTCTGATCCCAGGAACAGGAAGTCATCCTTCACCAAGCCCCGGGATCCCAGTGAGTTGAGTCATGGCTGGAATCTGTACGTGGTCAACACCGTCCCCCCACTCCAACTCTACAATGAGATGGTACAGCACCTCAACACCAGAACAACATGTCAACAAAAGCCTTAACATTACGAGACGTTACTCATTTTTACCATAATTTTTTATTTGGCTCTGTTGGTTGTGCTGAATGATACATTTATGCTGTTTAACTTTGCATTCAACAATGAATATTTTCTCTGGGCTAGGTAGAGTACAGTAAGAAGTATGAGGAGACCAACCCTCTGTCTCAGAGCTGTCTGCACCTGCTCAGTGAGGCCCACCTCCTCCTGAGAGCCACGCTCCTGGACCCCCGGGTGGGAAACCCTGTAGACCAGCCTCAGAGCAGTGACCAGAACCTAGCCCAGTCCCTGGGATATACAGCAACAGACAAAATAGGCAGCACCACTGACAGAACCACAGACAGACAGGAGCTGCAGCAGGCCTTCCAGGAGAGCTGTGCCCATTTAGGAGACTGCTTCAGTAGGTCAGTTGGTTCAAGATTGATTGATTGATTGATTGATATGTTTATTTATTTATGGATACAGTATGTTAGTTGATTGATATGCTAGTTGATTGATTGATATGCTAGTTGATTGATTGATATGTTAGTTGATTGATAGATTGATCTGTTAGTTGATTTGTTGACTGGTTTGCCCATTTGTCAACAACTATTTTTCAAATGTGTTACTGGTGTAGTTACTGTACACTTAATGTAAAGTGTGACCGTCTCTTTCACTGATGTGTAGGTTTGATAAGCGTGACTGCCACCTGGCCCTGCCCTACTATAATATGTCAGGCCTGTCTGTGACGGAGGTGATCTCCAGGAACAGGTGTCTGTCCAGCAGCCCCTGTGGCTACGGGAAGGGGTTCCTCTTCTTCCTCAAACACTCACTCTATGAGGAGACCATGGAGGAGCTCACTGAGGTAGCTACACCAGTCCTTGGAGACCTCCAGCCATTCCACATATTTGTTACATTCCACCACTAGCACATCTGATTCAGTAGTGTTGAATGTTGATAGTCAAGGGTTCGTGCCTGTGTGTGTGTGTTGTAGGAGACAGCCAACGAGGTGCTGGATATCTTCGGTGTGGCCGAGCCGTCCCAGCTCCCCCATGTCATAGCCAGCCCCTCCATGGTTAGAGCTAGCCCTGACAGTGGCCTGGCCCACCTAGAGCGCCTGGAGGCCATCGGAGCTCCCTCTGTACCCCTCACTCTCTCCAAGGCTGCCCTGGCCCTCCGCATGGGAGACCTGCAGCTCTACAGACAACACATGGATAGACATACAGAGGTTAGTCTGTATTGACTGTGTGTGTGTGTGTATTGAAATGTAGATTCTATTGTACTGTGATGTTTTACTGTGGATCTAAATAAAGTGGTTTGTATGTAGATGTGGTATATGTACTACTGCGTATTTCCATGATGTGTGTACATTAAAAAGGTGCATTAGGCAGAAATCGCTCCGCCATTTCCTGGTTGCTGAAATTCTAATAGTTTGCCTAATTTCATTTATGTGACAAAACAAGCAGTCATTGTGTAGAGAATCATTGTACCATCTAAACCACTGTGAAATTTATTTTCCATAACCAAAAATATTGTATTTGATGCCGGTGTACAAAACCAAAAGTAAAAGATGCAAAAAAAACGGGAAGCATAGAAATAGCGCACATAGAACAGATCTACCACTTCTTAAACCTGCTTTCAATGAGAAGGACAGATCTATAACTCAAATTTCTATGTACATTTGGTCGTGTCGCCTACAAAGTTACATATTGCAGCTTTAACTGTCTATGTACTATATACCTACCCAGATGCTGCAGGTATATGGGTTCATCGAGGAGCACAGACTGCTGCTGCATGGCAGAGGGCACGCGGTGGTGCCCACCCCCCTGGCACGCCACCTCAGGGACAACCAGGGCGGTCTGCTGGTGGCAGCCATGGTGGCGCTACATGAGAACAACAAGGTCAAACTGGACGAGGCTGACCTCTTCTTCCAGGTTAGGGTTACAGTGTTTGTGTTGTAGGTCATTCCTATAGGATTCCTGTAGGATTTCCTGCAGGATTCGATCCTAAGTATGATCTTTAAAATGTTAGAATATTTCATGCTTTTCATGTTTCATTGTGAATGTATTGAAATGTGTGTGTGTGTGTGTGTGTCCTGTAGGAGCTGTGTGGGAACCTGTCGGGGCCCCAGGGAGGCCCTCAGCTGCTGGTGGACTTCTGGGAAGCCCTGCTGATGGCCTCATCACAGGAAGCTGTCATCCAGGAGCTGCTGTTCCGCCTTACCTCTGTCTACATTGACCGCGTCACGCGCCGAGACAGCCACGGCATGAAACCGCTCAAGACCACAGACGACCTGGTGTGTTTCTGTCTCTGTAGTTTGTAGTGTTCTTGTCACTATGGCGTGATGTTCCCCAGGGTTAAAGCTAGGAGGTAGTGGAGAGGTAGTCCCACCGTAAGACTGTCTTTGTATCGGTTGTGTATCTGTTGTTGTGTAGATCAGGGGTTTTCAAACCCCTCCTCAGGGACCTCCAGATGTTCCATGGATTTTAACTATTTCACAGCCAGCATACCGGATTCAACTAGTCAACTAATCATCCAGCCATTTTATAGGTGAATCAGGTGAGCTAGTTCAGGGCTACAACAAAATGGTTTCTGTGTTGTAGATCAACTCATGTTCTCACTATGGCGTGCCGTATCCCTGGGTCAGCATCCTGACTCCAGCTCACTTCAACATCATTCAAGATGACCAGGAGGACCTTCAGAAACTACAGGTCAGTCGCTCTACATCGTCAATCAATTCATCAATCAACCAACCAATCAACTTGGAAAATAAAGCTTTGTTAAGCCTTACTTGTAAATATGTAGGATATGTAAATGTCCCACTATGATGAACAAACAATAAACCATCAATGTCCCCTCCTCCCCAGTCCCTGCTGTGCGGTCCCACTCTGGACGTGTCGTCCATCCTGCCCCTGTTGGAGCAGCTGCCAGACGGGGACAACGCGGGGCTCAGTGTGCACGTGCTCTGTGCCACCAAGCTGGGCCGCCACGAGAGCTCCATTGAGAGGCTTCTGGACCGCTGTCCTCAGGCCATCATCCCCTACGCTAACCACGAGCTGCAGAATAACCAAATGGTGGGTACTGCTGTGCACTGGAACTCTCATCCTGCTGTGAAACGCACTGCCCCAACGCCTCTGACCCAACTCCTCTGACCCTACTGCGGAACTCATAGTACTTGCACAACCTTAAATCCTCATAACCCCTTACCTCAATCCTAAGGTCTGAACTCTAACATTTGTATAACGTGATTTTGTTCAGGCTCTGTGGTGGCAGAAGCTGTTTCCTGAGCTGTGTGAGAGAACCAGAGCATCAGGGGGAGAGAACACCATCTTACTGTCTGCACTCAAAGGTACACTTAGACTAGCCTGTGATTCAAGCATAGGGTTTAACTGTAGTAAAAATGGGAAATCTGCAGTTCAAACAAAAACAAAGAAGGCGCCCCACCACTGTTTTGGTAAACAGCTGAGGGATGGGGCTGGAGAAATGTAACCAGTCCCAAATTAAGACAGCGCTATGGATGCAAGGACTGACCATCCATGTTATCGATATTATAGTTTTAACCATCTTTTGAGGCGATACAGTTTTTGTTTACAATTACATCGTTTACACACAATGGACTAAAACAAGCGTATATTTTTGGTTCTGATGGGGTACGACAGTTGAACTAAGATCATAAGGCATGTATAAGTTATATTCCTCAATAATCAATGGGTATATCATGGATTTAAAAAAAATGTATGCAGTACTCGCAGATTTCCCCTTTAATATTCAGAGCGTTTGGGCCTTAACATCTCTATTTTCCCTGACAACAGAAACGCTGGTGGTGGTTGCCATGGAGCTGAACCCACTGGAGTTCCTGGACCTGTTGCCTGATGACGGGACGGCACACTTTTTCCTGCCTCACCTGCTGAAGTGCAGCCAGAGAAATCTCATGACGTAAGAACCGCGTAGAACAGATATACAGTAGCTCTAAAAAAAAACATTTATTTCATGGTACACCCAAATTCTAGGACAGTTTAGGAAAATGCTACATTTTTGAATAAGTAGAACAAGTGTCCGTTAATCAAACAAATCATTCAAATGGTACGCTGGTTTGAATGGGAATTTCCCTTCTACCGATTCTAATTCAATAGAGGGTCCTAAACCTGGACCGTACAGGACAATCAACCACCTCGAGTGTGGAGTGAGCCTCTCAAACGCTGTAGTAATTAGTTAGAGATTATTTCCTGATTTTACGACCTCACTTTTTGTACTTCTGTTCTAAAGTATTGATGCCACGTTCCTAGTCATACCCTGCAGTGGCACTAGTCCTCTATGTAGACTCCCCGATACACTGCGAGACCTTTTCTTTACTACGGAGTATTATGAACTGGATGTTAAAAGTTACACACTGGACTGTTCTAGCTTTTCTTCTGTTTATTGGGTGAAGAGATAAGAAAAGGTGGTTGAATAACATGGAATGAAGGAAGCTTCTCTGAAAGCTATGACCTCACTGTATAACCTATTCCGATATGTTTTGCTTTGGTTCACTGCATTAATAAATGCTCTAAAAAGATTTCATGTGCATTCATCTCCTTTCACCAAGTATATATGCCAATGTTGGACAAACAAAATGATGATTTTATATTTTCTTTATTCAAAACTGATTTTACAGTATTGACATTAGACAAGAGCATCAACATTAGTAATTTAGCAGACGCTCTTATCCAGAACAGAGTGCTCGGGTTGGGGTGTAGGGTTTGAGCATAGCCTGAAGGTAGGGAGGGGCTGCTCCATAGGCAAGCACCATGGTCTTGTAGTGGACGTGAGCTGCGACTGCTGTCCAGAGTCATGCCAAGGTTCTTCGCACTCTGGGAGGGTGATACTGGAGTTGTCAACTGTGATGGAGAGGTCTTTGAGCAGGCAGGCCTTCTCTGGGAGGAAGAGCAGCTCAGTCTTGTCGAGCTTGAGGTGGTGGGCCGACATCCAAACCGAGTTATCTGCCAGGCTTGCGTGTCGCCACCTGGGTCTCAGAAGTGGGGGGGGGGGGGGGGTAGTAGTAGTTGAGTGTCATCCGCATAGTAATGATAGGAGAGACCATGTGAGGATATGATGGAGCCGAGTGACTTGGTGTATAGAAATGAAGAGGGCCTAGAACTGAGCCCTGGGGGACACCAGTAGTGAGAGTACGTGGTGCAGACACAGATCCTCTCCACGTCAACTGGTAGGAGTGGCCTGCCAGGTAGGACGCAATCCAAGAGTGTGCAGAGCCTGAGACACCCAGCCCTGAGAGGGTGGAGAGGAGGATCTGATGGTTCAGTGTCCAAGGGAGCGGATAGATCTAGGAGGATGAGAACAGAGGGTCCGCTTTGGCAGTGCGGAGAGCCTCTGTGACATAGAGAAGAGCAGACTCAGTTGAGTGACCCGTCTTGAAGCCTGACTGGTTAAGGTCAAGAAGATCGTTCTGAGAGAGATAACGAGAGAGTTGATCAGAGACAGCACGCTCAAATGTTTTGGAAATAAAAGAAAGGGATACAGGTCTATAGTTGGTGTCAGATGAGTAGTGTGTTGGTTTCTTGAGGAGGGGAGCGACTTGTGCCATTTTGAAGTCAGAGGATAAGTTGATGAGGGAAGTGAGAAGGTCTCCAGAGATGGTCTGGAGAAGGGAGGAGGGGATGGGGTCGAGTGGGCAGGTTGTCGGGCGGCCAGACCTCACTAGTCGCAGGATTTCATCCGGAGAGAGAGGGGAGAAAGAGGTCAGGGCATAGGGTAGTTCTGTGTGAGTGGGACCAGTGGACTCAATTGGCTGAGTGAATGAGGAGCAGATGTCGTCAACCTTCTTTTCAAAGTGGTTGACAAAGTCGTCCGTAGATAGAGGGGAGGATTAAGGAGGGAGGAGAAGGTAGAAAATAGTTTCCTAGGGTTAGAAGCAGACGCTTGAAATTAAGAGTGATAGAAAGTAGCTTTAGCAGCGGATACGGAGGAAGAGAAGGTAGAGAGGGAGTGAAAGGATGATAGATCCTCCGGAAGTTTAGTTTTCCTCAATTTTCACTCAGCTGCCCGCAGCCCTGTTCTGCAAGCTCATGAGTCACTCAGCCACGGAGCAGCAGGGTAGGTCCGAGCCGGCCTGGATGAAAGGGGACAGTGCGAGTCATAGGATGCAGAAAGGGAGGAGAGTAGGGTCAAATCAGAAAACAAAGTAGTGATCAGAGACCTGGAGGGGGGTTGCAGTGAGATAAGTAGGCAAACAGCCTCTAGTAAAGATGAGGTCAAGCGTATTGCTTGCCTTGTGAGTTGGAGGGGATTGGGAAAGGTTGAGGTCAAAAGAGGCAAGGAGGGGAAAGAAATTAATCGAAGGCAGACGTCGGGAGGTTGAAGTAGCCAAGTACAAAGAGCGGTGAGCCATCGTCAGGAAATGAGCCTATCAAGGTGTCAAGCTCATTGAGGAACTCTCCAAGGGCACCTGGTGTTACACTTGAGTGGAAAAGTGACAGCATGGAATTCAAATAAGGAGATGGACAGGTGAGTGAGGGAGAAAATAGAAAATATCCAGTTAGGAGAAATTAGTAGCCCTGTACCGCGATGACCAGATGCTCTTGGACTATGAGAGAAAATGTAGTCAGATGAGAGAACAGCTGGAGTAGCAGTGTTCTCTGGGTTGATCAATGTCTCTGTCAGGGCCAAAAGGTCAAGGGACTGAAGGGCAGCATAGGCTGAGATGAACTCTGCGTTCTCGGCCGCAGATCGGCAGTTCCAAACGCTGCCAGAGACCCGGAATTTCACATGGGTTGTACGTGCAGAGTACACTAAATTAGAACGGTTGCAGTCAAGGGTTGGGGAGCGTCTGTATAGCCCACTGGGAGAGGAGCGAACAGATATAGAAAACACACAGTGACAAAGCTACAAAAGAGCAAAATGAGAATCTGAAAATAACTAGGTAAGATACTCAAGTGAGAGAGTGGTGTGGAGTCTTCCGCTCTTTCCTTCCTCAAACAACTCGGCAGAACCATCTTTGTTTGGGCGACGGTTTTAGTTTTGCCGACAAGAAACCAGGGGAGACTGAAGTACTAAAACAAATTGCTAATTGCCTAGTAGAGGTGAAGAGCACACCTCCCTGTATTAATTGCTGATTGCCTAGGAGAGGAAAGACCACTCCCCCTCCAATACAGCCACTGATTATCAAAACAAGTCACAAATTGCCCTGCCCCTTAATCCTGGTTGATGTATCAACAATCATCAGCAATTTATGTGCAGTCAGCAGATCACACACCATGTAGGCTACTGGGAAGACAGGCAGTACTTAAAGTAGATGGCCCTAGCTAGCAAAAAGGCAGTACTGGACAACAGATAAAGACACACATTTTACTTATCACTCCTGGAGATATCAGGAGTCCTCTAGCTATAGAATGAACCACACTAAGATGGAGCCTGAGAAGCTGGTTAAATACACTCAGAAAAGCGGTAAAACCACTCCCCCTCCACTGATTACCAAAACAAGTAAAAAATTGCCCTGCCCCTTATGCCGCATTCAAAACAACTGGGAACTCTGAAAAATACGAGTTCAAATCATGACGTCAGTGATCTTCAGTTCGGAAAGTTGGAGTTCTAGAAAGAGGCCAGAGTTCCCGAGTTGGAATTTCAAGTTGGATGACAGTTTAAATATATTTTTCCCAGTCGGAGCTCGTTTTTTTCAGAGTTCCCAGTTGTTTTGAACGCGGCATTAATCCTGGTTGATGTGTCAACAATCATCTGCAAGTTATGAGCAGGCAGCAGTTCACACACCAATTAGGCTACAAGGAAGACAGGCAGCACTTAAGTTGAGCTGACAGCCATTTTGCACTGTTTCGCTATGGCTTTAGTCATCAATCTAGCAAGAGGGCAATATTTTATACATGTATTAGTGTTTCCCCACCACCCACCTAGAAAGCTATGACCTTTGGCTTTCACCTGGAATTGTTTATTAATGTCTGAGAAAAAAAGACTTTTCAACCTATATGATCTAGTACACAATAACATTTACGTCATTTAGCAGACGCTCTTATCCAGAGCGACTTACAGTGAGTGAGTGCATTTTTCATACTGGCCCCCCATGGGAATCGAACCCACAAACCTGGCGTTGAAAGCGCCATGCTCTACCAACTGAGCTATATACAGTGAGGGGGAAAAAAGCATTTGATCCCCTGCTGATTTTGTATGTTTGCCCACTGACAAAGACATGATCAGTCTATAATTTTAATGGTAGGTTTATTTGAACAGTGAGAGACAGAATAACAACAAAAAAATCCAGAAAAACGCATGTCAAAATGTTATAAATTGATTTGCATTTTAATGAGGGAAATAAGTATTTGACCCCCTCTCAATCAGACAGATTTCTGGCTCCCAGGTGTCTTTTACACAGGTAACGAGCTGAGATTAGGAGCACACTCTTAAAGGGAGTGGTCCTAAGCTCAGCTTGTTACCTGTATAAAAGACACCCGTCCACAGAAGCAATCAATCAATCAGATTCCAAACTCTCCACCATGGCCAAGACCAAAGAGCACTCCAAGGATGTCAGGGACAAGGCTGGAATGGGCTACAAGACCATCGCCAAGCAGCTTGGTGAGAAGGTGACAACAGTTGGTGCGATTATTCGCAAATGGAAGAAACACAAAAGACCTGTCAATCTAGATTTTCTATTGTGTTATTGACTGTACGTTTTTGTTTATCCCATATGTAATTCTGTGTTGTTGTTGTTTTTATTGCACTGCTTTGCTTTATCTTGGCCAGATCGCAGTTATAAATGAGAATTTGTTCTCAACTGGCTTACCTGGTTAAATAAAGGTTAAATAAAGGTTAAATAAAAAAAATAAGAGCAATGTTGTTCTGCTTTTTCTTTCTGTTTCTGTTTTTTTGTCTCCAGTTGAGGGGAGGGGGGTATTCTCAATGTATTGTTTGCTGTCATTATCTGTCTGTTTGTTTATCAAAAAAAAAAAAATTTAACAAGCATTCGGTTTTGCAATGCATACATTATTTGGGATTTGTGTGTCCATGAAAACTGTTTTCACCCAGTAACATGAGACACAAAATGTTACCTAGTTACACTGCATTTCTGAGATCTCTATACAAAAAACTGTCCGACAGCTAGATCCAGGATTCTTACAGGTTTCAAGTTCAATGTCTAATTTAACTGATTAATGCTTAATATATGATATAACGTCAACTTACACTGCCATAAATGCACGGGCAGAAAAGTAATGTTTTATGTCACACAATTTTGGACAAATCCATCAAGACACCAACCATGATAAAGGGTTAAACATAGCTTTCAAATCAACTCGTGAATTTTATTGTATATAGCTATGATCCTTCCTTATATCTTAATTTAATGACATGGGAAAAAAATGCTGATGATTATCAATGACTTATCAACAGCTGTAACAAGTTGTCCAGTGTAGGTAATCCTCACTGGTACCCTAGTTTGTAGAAAGACCCACTTACAATAACCCTACTCTTTAAGGAGTCTTCATTAATTACAGACAAGACGCAGGTGCATTTCTATGAATAATAACTGATAAAACCAGGCATATCAATTAATAT